CTACCTCACTGGCTTGTTATTCCTCATCTAAATACCGGTAGTTCACATTGTTTTCCTCCTGGGAAAGACTGGATCATGAAGGCATGAATATAGTGATAAAGAGGAGGCAAACCTAGTTACACCCAGCAACATAAGGAGCCTAATAAAACATGCACTGTAGCAAGGCACAAAAGCTCATACTTTGAATAAAACGTTGTTGGTCTTAAAAGGTGTTTTTTATTTCTCCCATGCGATTTCAAATCTCTGTCTTGCATTTTCCAATGAGTGAGACGTGAACATTTGACCTTTACTTTTCAAATGTACTTAAACAATAATGTGATCAGACAATGTATTAAATATTAAGGATATTACTTTAGGATGCAACACTTTAGAACACCAAGTGTGATCAATCCAGCTAACACTAGGATGATAATATGTCCTTTTACTTCCCATCCCTAATTGAGGTTTTTCCATGTAAGACTTTCTATGGTGTGTTTGGGAAGAAAATCCAGTTGTTTTCCTGTAAGTAATCCAACATCTACCAAGTGAAATTGATCCTTCAATAACCATTTTATATTTTTTTCATCTACTGACAAAGGTTTTATAGATATACGGCCCTTTTCCCCCGAACTGATCTTATCTTCCATTTCTGACCGAATATTAAAATCTCCAACCACCATTAAGAATCAATAGGTACTGAGTTTCCGGAGGTACGGCGCTGCACCACGGGCGTGTTCTTCGGGAGCTCCCGGGAAAGCCCAGCTCGTGTGCGCTCTTTCGGAGCCCCCCGAAGTTCGGGAGGGCCCCGCTTGGTTCTCCTGAAGGGAGACCAAGAGCATGAGGCTTGACCGGCCCCCCCCATTTCCCTGGCAATGACGGGGGGTGACCGGTTTGCCCCGAAGCAGGAGTGTCACGGAGAGCGGGAACATGGCTGCCATGTTTCCCGTTTAGCAGCTGCCAGCCGTGCTTTTAACCTTTTTTCTTTTGTTTTTTGTAAGTTTTTCTTTTTTCCTGCTCGCTCCTACGTCACCCTGAAGGACATTAATGTTGCACAATTTGACTGAAATGGAAGAAATATCCCCCTTCGATGATTCCCCACACACACACACACCGGGAAAAGAAAGCGGCCGGGAACTTTTGAAAGGAGACGGGGGAAAGAAGATTGAAGAAAAGGTACGGGGGGGGGAATAGTTCGGCTGGACGTAGTAGTAAATGTTTCGCTAAGGATTACAAAAATATTGGAAGGCTTTGGGACACCTATCGCGCAACCTTTAAGAGTGTGGGAAACAAGTGGAGTTAAGTTTGGGAGGAAATGGTGCTGGGCGTGGCTTGTAATGAGATACAGGACGCAATACTCGCGGAACTCAGGTCAGATCGTTTTCAAAAACTTCTGAAAGGAGAATTAGAGAAGACACTTGCACTGGTCTGGGTCAAGGTTTTGGGGAACACACAATATGCATATGTAGAGGAAAACCACACTACGAAACAAACAAAAGAGATACAAAGACAAGATGAATTGCAGGAAGATAAGCAGGAAGGAGACCCACATGCTACTCAATACTTACGTATAGAACCAGAGCTGCAAGAATTGGATCCTCTGATTCAGGCTCTGGAGGAGGAGAAAACTTCAAAAACAAAAACTGGGGGTGAAAGGCTGCCAAACCTCCCCCGGAGGAAAAGGAAGAAGATTAAGAGGAGGAAAAGACTGACGAAAGTTCCAAGGGAGGCTAAGGACTGTAACACTAAACACCTGAACTTGGACATAAGGCGACATAGGAAAGACAGTTGGGGAGTCAACCTAAAGGAATACAAAGATCAAAGACATCTGAGAGAGAAAAGGGAAAATCAGAATAAACAAGAAATAGTATATAGTGTGATTGTAAATGAGCTTTATAGATTGGTGGTAAGCAAATGATTAAATTATGTGGCTTAATAAGATGTGAAAAGAAGTTAGCTGTTCAGAAATAGAAATACTGGAGGTTACAACAACCATAGTAGCTGTTATGGTTCTCATGATAACATTTTAGAGGACAGGTGAGGATGGAGGCCTCCAGGGGGGATAACACCTTGCAAAGTAAAATTTGCAAAGGGGCAGTCCAGTGTGTGACAGGTTACCAAGGAAGGGGAGAGCATCAGCTGTGGGGGAGAAAAATAAAATTACAAGCAAATGTTGCTAAACTTTGAGAAAGTTGGCCTACTTGTATGTTCATGAAGGAATCAGGTATACAAAATGCCAATGTAAGTATGGGGTGGGGGAGAGATGTTTGACTAGGCTTTTTGGTCTTCGTTTTAAAAGCCCCAGCTTCTGTTTGCCTGGCTTTGTAAGGACATGCTGTTGTGCATGGAACTGGCAACTGTCTGATTTAACTGTTATCAAGTCTGAGCAAGAGCACCACATAGTGACTCAACCGTAGAAATGAGATTCCCTGAGCTCAGCTGCACACCCAAGAGTTTTATCTGAAAATACTCATTACACTCTTCTCTGGAAGTGCATCATTGATAACAGAAAGCAGTGAGAAAGAGAAATATGCAACATCTACTTGCAGCCTGAACAGATACACGGCAGGGATAGTGTTAGCACTAGTTTCTGCCAATAGTATGACCTGGCCAACTAAATTCTCCATAGCATATACAGGATAACAGTGCAGCTTTCAAATGACTCTCGCCTCTCTGCAGTGTCACAGGTCTAGCGTGGGTATCCAGATAAAGCAGTCAGAGTGAAGAACGGATGAAGCTCTCTTTATACTGAAGCAGGCTATTGGTCCATCAAAGTCAGCCTTCTCTACTCTGACTGGCAACAGCTCTCAAGCAGAGGTCTTTCACATCACCTACAATTTAATGCAGATCAGACATGACCCCATTAATGCCTCCCTCAGTTCCACAATGCCAGATCCCTGGGTTTCTATCCACTATTCTCACACTGGGTGATCTGGCCTCCGTACAGAAGGCTGCTGCTATTACCTTCAATAGTTCCTAAAAGGCATCCTTGCAACAGTCAGAAGGTATGTGATTTGGTTAAGGTGACCGACTGGAGTGTTGCTTCTTTCCCAGCTACCTTGTCTGAATATTTGGTAGGGGGGGAGCCTCACAAAAGGCCCAGCCTGTTTTTCAATGGCTGATGCTCGCTGCAAGGATTGAGACTATATCAGAATTCCACTTCGAACATAGTAAAAGCTTAGGCCATCCTGCTTCATGGCTGCCACAGAATTATCTAGAGGCAAGCCTGGATCTAGTGGCGCCCCCAAATGGCTAAACTATAGGGTTTGGGAAGAAAAGAGCTCCCATCTAGGATCAAGCAGAGTCCTCCTCTCCTAGCTTTCACCATCAGATCTATTTACTTTCATACACCTTCACTGATATAACTGTTACTCTACGATGAAAGGAGAATAGGAGACAGTGACAACAGTTAACTCTGGGTAACCTCCTCCAGTAGTTTCATGTACATATTAAGCCATGGCTTAATTGAATCCTCGTGGTATTATACCAGTAATGTTTAAGATTTTATAATCTTTGCCAAAATTAACTCTTCTTGTGTCTGGATTCAAGACCACCTACCAATAGTAGTAGCAGACATTCCAATATTTATCTGTTCTTCCAGCCAGCTATTGAGACAGCCAGCTTCAATAATCCATTAGGCTACCATATGCTTTTGGCCAAATTTTCCAAGCCATTCTGTTCTTGTATCAATCAGAAAGCCCATGCGGTGTATAAATATTTTAATTTAGATGACTCACACTATTATAACATGATTTTAAAAATATTAGAAGCACTGGAATCCAACACAACCAGAAAAACAGTATTAATATTGGTCATATACTTGGGCTATAAAAAATGGGCTGAATAGTGAAAGCCAGTCAGCCAAACAAAGGGATCGGGCTCACATAAATACAATATCAATTTTTTCTTCAGAAGAGAAGATGAAGAAATCCAAAGTCTAGATATGGTAGAGATTGCAACTCAATGCAGAGTTCTACAGGAGCAATTTTTACTGTAACACCAGTACTCTTTTGAGAAAACACATATGGTGAAGACCAACTAAGCATCACAGTCATGATGTAAGCAGAGTGCATATTCAGTTTCCATTACACTGAGAATTCTGAGTCCCTGATCATCCTTTGGTCCTTTCAGTCTGCAAATTATTAAGAAATCTGAATACAATTGCTTCTACACAAAATAGGTCTCCAATTACAAAAATAAAATAGAAAGACGATTATAACTGGGCACCTTCACGGTTTCTATCCAGGTTATTCTCTCTTACTTCTGTAAAGTGCACAGCCGTTTAGTCCAAGTGTAACGATTTCTGCAATCACAGGCATATTTACAGCAATGTCACTCTTGAACTTCTGTCTGTTCTCCCTTAGAGCTGTAGTGAAAAGGAATTTCTCGTGAAGCTTTGATTTTTAAAGTCTAGCTTCATGAAAGAACAGGTACCTCCACCCAACTTGGGGGGGGGGAGGCGTGGAAATGTGTGGACCACAAATCATCTCCTAAAGTACAAACCAAAGTAAGAATGCAACCCCATGTCCTTCTACAATGCCACAGAGAGGGCTGCAAGTGAAGAGAGAGAATACAACAGCATGTGGACTTCTGATGGGGAACGTACAGATTAAACTTAACAAGGCTGAAACCTGCAAGACCAAGAGGTGGACCACAGACAGTCTAGTTCATTGACTAAATGGCCCTGAAACGAAGAATGCACAATTGGCCACAAGTGAAGATCCTCTTTCCTGGAGCCCTTTGCCACTGAGGCCACACAGTGGGAACACAGCTTGTTGAAACACCATGTCCAGTTGCTATGGAGATCCAAGCAGAACCAAATCAGGACCAGAGAACCACACATTTGTAGAGAAATTCTAGTTTCACCCTTAGACCACTGTGTGGAAAAGAGAACTATAGTCGCATAACAGATTTTTTTTAAAATCCTGAACTGGAATGTGAAAGATATGTGTGCAGTCTTTTTCCTGTGCAAGTTCAACAAGGCAGTCCTCCACTGGGTAATTCTTTCACAAACTCTAGTCGGCTTTGTTGTCATACTCGTCCAACTCGTGTCAGGAAGGTAAAGAGAAATGCTATATTGCCACAAATGTAGATAATTAACACCGTCTTTTTAAATGTGCGGCCCTAGAAAGAAACAAAGATGAAAAGTTTGAATGTTCCTACTTGTGGGGGGAAAGGTGGTCCAAGAAGATATGGAATACTCAGAAAAACAATGGCTAACAGTCCTGTAGGGACTGTGCCACTTCAAGATGCAGGGGAGGAAGGAGAGGACAGCATGCTTAAATAATGCTCTCTCTATAAAAATAGATCTCCCTACTCATGGACAACTAGTACTTCAAGGGGTACAGTACCCGGCTCACCACATGCCTGATATATCCACATTCTACATGCTGTTTTAAAATGTGAGATGCATTCAAAGAGGCAGTTCCCCACACACATGAACACACTGAAATGGTGCTCCAGGAAGTTCATCCCATGCACTTTTTCTGAAAATAATTTTACTCGCCCATTAAACTTACCTGTGCCTCTACTGAGGTAAGAGACTGCAAAATTTGTACCCTGTCATCTTCTAATACTTCATCTGCAACATAATAAAACACCATTAGAGCTGTACTCAAAAGGACATTCACCATCACTGCTGTGTACCATTTCAGCATTAAAAAAAGACCCAGTGGTCACAATCCAACATTGTCAAGGGATCTTTGAATCCATGAGTTTAAGCACACCTGCATCTGCACAGCATTACGGCCAATCAGTTTTATCCACAAATTCACAACAACCTTGAAGGGCCCTTGTTGTCACTCATTTGATATCCACACACTGTTCAAATTCAATGCTTTCTATAGACAAACCTGTCCTCTTACCTCCATTTGGTGCTGTAAGAGATAAGAAAAGATCTCCATTTGGTGATGTAAGAGGTAAGAGGAGATCTCACTAAGACTGGCCAGCAAGAATTTTGAGGCTTCCAAGGGGACTGTTCAGTTATTCTGTCATCCAGAGCTACTTTCCATGATGAGGAAGATCTGATATATATAATTGCCCTAACGTGTTGGCCATTTCCAGCTCTCCCATTGACTGTGCAGTGCGCTCCATCAGCCAATGGCCCATCAACCGCCACTCAAGAGTACTCACATGCCATTGGCTGGGTGCTGGGTCTGTTCCTCTCCCACATCCACCACCAGCTGGACACTATTCCCTCACAGAATAAACTGCCAAAACAGCTGTCTCTCCTCATGAAGACACTGCTCCTGCTTGGCTCCTGTGGGACTAACTTTTCCCTCAGTGGCTGTTGCTAGGCAACCAAGCTTGGTTCTGTCAGTAAAAAAGCAAAGGCAGGAGGCCCTTTCCAGTCCTTTGTGGGGAACCCATTGGGGCCAGTCCTGACTAGGGTTGCCAGCTCCAGGTTGGGAAATTCCTGGATATTTTGTGGTGGAGCCTACGGAGGCCAGAGTTTGGGGAGGGGAGAGGCCTCAGCTGAATAGAATGTCATAGAGTCCACCCTCCAAAACAGTTATTTTCTCCAGGGGGGGAGGAAAGATCTGTTGTCTGGAATTCAGTTGTGATACCTAGCGATATTCGGGCTCCACATGGAGGTTGGCAACCCTAGGTGTAGCAATTAGCACTTCAGAGCAGAGTCTGCCAGACCCATGTTCTTGCTGTGGAAGTTGAGTGGATGATTTTGGAGAGGGTGGGGTTGGAGAAGGGGTGAGACCTTAGACAGGTACAATGCCGTAGACTCCACCATCCAAACCAGCCATTTCCTCCTGTGGAACCATTGCTGCCATTCTCCAGGTCAGAAACAATATCCACCAAGGGAAGACCATCTACAATTCACAGCTATGTTCAAAACTATATATTATATTCATTTAAATACAAAGAAGGGTTAGTGGTTACAACCCAATACAGTATGTAAACATAGATCCAACAGTAGGCTCTTTTGTCAATCTTGTCTTTCTGTATATATTTATGATTGTTTCACAGTTCCGTCATACCAGCCGCTGTTGAAGATCATTGAAACGCTTGATTTATACCTGGGAGACGCGTTCGGCTGTTATTCTTTCCACAGTGGGAGTCTTCTGTTACAGTTACTTTCTATTTGGAGGTCTATGGACACTACTTATGTATGAAATTACAGAAGAGCCTACTGCTTTTTTATTTTTGTTTTTAATTTAATTTTTGTTCTTTTATACAGTACAATAGATTCATTACATAACGCAACATACGAAAACCAAGGAGTGTATACCGCTGAAAGATGAGAGTTATATAACCAGCATAAATACAGCTTCTATGTGCAAATTGTTGGATCTATGTTTACATACTCTATTGGGTTGTGACCACTAACCCTTGTTTGCATTTCAATGAATATAATATATTGTTTTGAACATAGTTGTGAATTGTAGATGGTCTAAATCTTGGTGGATATTGTTTGTGACTATATTTATACACACTTTGTCTTTGGCATTCTCCAGGTCAGGGCTGGAGATCACTCAGAATTAAAACTGCTCTCCAGATGGCAGAGATCAGTTTCACTGGAGAAAATAGCTGCTTTGCAGGGTGGACTCTGAGTCATTATACCCTGCTGAGGTTGCTTCCCCTCCTTCTTGGGTCCCCACTGAGGAGGAGTAAGACTGTACTTTTCCTAGGTAGAGGCTCCAGGTGTGGGGGGGAGAGATGGAAAGCTGAAGTCAGAGGGGCAGATAAAGGTAGGTTGATGGTTGGTTGGGAAGGAGATAGGGTTGCCACCTCCAGGTTGGGAAATTCCTGTAGATTTGAGGGATGGAGCCTGGAGAGGGTGGGGTTTGTGGAGGGGTGGAACCTCAGACAGGTACAATGCCATAGACTCTACCCACCAAACCAGCCATTTCCTCCTAGGGAACCATTGTTGCCAATCTCCAGGTGAAGGGTGGCGATCACTCCAAATTACAACTGCTCTTCAGATGGCAGAGATCAGTTCCCCTGAAGAAAACTGTAAGCTCTGTGTCATTATACCCTACTGAGGTCGCCACAGCAAATTGATGCTGAGTGTCCAAGGCCAGGGCCCAGAGTCTCTTTCTAGAGCTCATTATATTTATTTCCACAACAGGCCTTATTCCTAGTCTTTGTATACTTTTCACAGTTGTACCTCAAAATACAACCAGCAGCCTGGAAAGGCTCAGGCCCCTAATTGTCTATATTTAAGGGTCAGATGGGAATGCAGAAGGGTCAGAAGGTGGGAGGGAATGCATTTTACATCTAATGTCTGTCACCTGTACTGTTTATTCTGGTTTTCATTCCAACATCTGCTATTCAGCAGGCCTATATTGGCTACATGGTCATGTTAATTAACAGGTTGCAGCTCAGAGCCAGCCAACCCCCAGAACTGCAAATGATCAGGGACATTTTGCACCAGCTCTCCTTGCTGGTCATAGTGATGCTCCTTGCCAATGCTGGACATTAACATTAGATCAGCAGAAAGAGGAATGGGCCATATTTGCAGGGACTGGCTTCAGAGCTCTTGCAAGACCTTGAAAGTCAGACCCTTTTCCAAGTCTCAACAGCATAGTTTTCCTGCTTACACAAATTCTGAACATATAGACAAAGTTTGGAGACAAACTGGAAAGAAGAAGCTCTTGGGATTTGTATGGGGCTGTGTTATATATGACAACCGCAAGCTCAGAAATACTGGCAGAGATTTAGTCAAAGCACACCCATTATTTCTGTGAGAACAAATGTGTTGGTGAGCATTTGATCTGGATGGGGAAATATCACCATCTCAGTGCCAGATCCTCATTAATCCACAAAGCATATGCTTTCACTTAAAGATTGGTAACAGGCCACTTTATACATGCATCCCACCAGCAGCTTCTACCATGACTGCGCACAAACCTGCAAGCACAACTGAAGCAACAACATGCTTACATGCCTCCATACATCATTGGATACTGCATTGTTGTTGCATTATAGCAATCATAATTTTCTTTACCACATAGGAACATCCAGTTATGCATGGCTGCAAGAGCACAGCAATAGCACAATTCACCTTGCGTGGATGCAGTCCTAGTCACATAATACATTTCTCCACTGAACTGCATGCTTGGGACACTGAAGGGTAGAACACAGCTGGGAAGACCTAGGTGTGAACTGCTCATAATAGCAGAAGCCAGTATAACAACATGCATGTTTGTTAGGAGTCACAAAGAACTCAAAGACTTATCACTTGTCACTGCATTGTTCTATTTGTACCTTTGCGGATGAGACAATAGCCATGTATCTCCAGAAGAACATCAATGCCAACATGCCAAGCTACAAATCCAATCATGGTATAGATGTCCCAGGGATCTGGAAGATTGAGAGCTGGCAAATCCATCCCCAGGAACATTGTTACCACTGTTTAAGAGCAAGGCCACAGTTTTAAGACCATTAAAGGTAAGATGTATGCACTTACATAATCTTCCCTTCAGATAAACAAACATAAATCCACAGCTGATATACCAGTTGGGTGCTTGCAACATGACATTCAGCTGTTTGATACAGCATCATCAGGGGTCATTTCGTAGAAAAAGAGCTAGGGGAACTCATTAGCATAACTCATTAGCATATGCCACACACCCTGACATCACCGGAAGTGTGTCATAAGGCCACACCCCCTGACATCACCGGAAGTGTGTCATAAGGCCACACACACCACCCCCAACAGTCCCGGCCGCCGCCGCTGGCCTTGCAGCTCCACTGCCGAGCCCCATGAGGGGCCTGGTGGTGAACCTGCAAGGCTGGCGGGAGTGCAAGGAAGCCCCGCGAAGGCCTTCCCTGGCCCCAGGCAGGCAGGGGTGGGGAGAGGCAGGGAGGAAGCAACTTACCCTCCCTCTTCTCCTGCCTCCTCCTGGCTGAATGAGGGCTGGAAGTGGGGTGGCTGGAAGCAGGGGGCGAGGCTTCGTCATGTGCCCCGCCCCCCGTACCTCACCCGGGGGAATTGCGATCCCCCTCGAAATGACCTCTGAGCATCATGGTATTTAATTCCTTCTACTGAAGGGAAGAGTAGGGGGAGCCCAACCCCAACATATGCAGGGGATTCATGCCCCACTCTACAGAAGGGACAAGCTCCACACCTAACCCCAAGTATCCAGCAGTGCTTACACTTAAAAAGCCATAAGGTACACAGTCACTGAATCACAGACACAACGTGCAGCAATTACGTGGAAAAATCACAGATGACAGCTGCAGAAGACATCCCTAATTCCTACTTAAATCATATTTTAAAAGTTACACTCTCAATGTGTGTAATTTCAAGGAGAAAAATCTGTGATTAAGTATGTTAACTACAGGTTGCTTAAGTATATCACTTTTCCAGCTGCTGTGCACACAGTTCATAACATTGCCTTTGGCAGTAGTTAGCTACTACAAACACAGCCATTTGGATAAGGCCAGAAAGTATTACTCACCAGCTAATATTCTAGCCGTTGTACCAGTGCTCCAGTGTAGCCAGTTAAAAATTTGCCTTCTGTTTCCACAAGAAGAGGGGGGGAAATATGTCAGTGCATAATTTTAGATAGTGGCATGATTTTTTAAGAAGGGATGGGGAGACCACAACCTGCCAATGTAACTTTATTAGGATTGCTGACTTGGGGTTGCCAACTCTGGGTTGGGAAACTCCTGAAGATTTCAGGGTGGAGTCTGTGAAGGGCAGGATATAGTGTCATATAGTCCGCCCTCCAAGGCAGCCATTTTTCCACAAGGGAACCTATCTCTGTAATCTGGAAATCAACTGTAATTTTGGGAGATTTTCAGCCCCCAACTGGAAATTGGCTGTACTTTTTTAAAAAAAATTTTGAGGGTTCCACTTTAGCCAAAATGAGGGCAGGATTAAGACAAGGCATGAATCCATATTGCTTGCATCATATTCTGGCTGGTGACATTCTTAATCACTAAGACAGGCCTCACGTATGTGTATGAGAATATCCCAGGCCTCTCTAGGGTTTAAAATAGCAAGGAAGGCAGTGAAATAGGAGACAAGTGGCTATTCTGTGGACATCCCATTGGCTAATAAATAAGCAGAATCCCTTAGTGGGGGGAGAGTGTGTGCCCTTCCCCCACTTTCACGGGATTGCTGTTCTTTAAATGTTCTAAAAGGGCTTGTTAAGAAACACATTTAGGGCACTTTATTATACAGCATGTGCCTACCTTGGTGCTTGCGGAGGTGGTCTGAATGCCGCCATAAGGGGCTGGATGAGTGCCAAAGCCATCACTGTACAACCAAGGTAGGGATGGAAGCTGGCTCGCTGTACAAAATACCATTTTAATTATCAGAATCTTTTTAACAATACAACCGTTTTTCTTTCACAACCATCACAGCTGGCCACAGTAAGAGCTATTTTGATGTATTCAGACTCCCAAGTGCTTACCGGAAATGCAAATGAGTACCTGCTACAAAAAGAGCCCTGCTCCTTGGGCTGTTTCTGCCATGCGTGTGCGGTGCCATGACATCACCAGAAGTGACATCATCACACTGGGGGTGTCCCGTGCCGATACTGTAGCATTTGGGGCAAAAACTCTATGGTAACCAGCTTTAGGTTACCTGGTTACTCCAACTGTCTTTGGAGTAATTAAGCAACAAGAATTTAGGCAACATGGAGGCCAGATAACCAAATGCAGGCAGAATCGCCTGAACACACTGCCTCAGCCAGTGAAAACTCCATTCAGCCCCATCCACTTCGTGCTTATTGGTCTACTTGGAAGAACACAGATCTGCTTCCCAGTGGTATTTCAGAATTGGTAGGACCAACTAATCAGACAACCAGAAGAGCAATTCCTGATCAGGTAGGACATTCTCACTTCCCTGAGCATAGCAGGATCCTCTCTGGCCCTGCTCTCCTTTTTATTGCTCAACTGTGGTTAGCTGAATAGCAACAATGTATTCCTGTGCTACAGAAATCAGGTAGCTTCCAGCTAGGGTGTCATCCCCCCAGTTGGGGCAGGGGATCCCCCAATTTTGGGGGGCCCAATCCACTGCCAGCCAGCTGGCCAGCGAGGGAAGCCCCACACCCAAACAGCAGCATCCCACAGGGGACACTGCCAATGCGATGACATCACCAGTAGTGATGTCATCATGCAGCAACGCTCTAGCATTCAAGGGGAACTCTATGGTTACCATAGAGTTTTTGCCCCAAACGCTAGAGAATCAGCACGGGACACCCCCAGTGTGATGATGTCACTTCTGGTGATGTCATGGCACCGCACACGCATGGCAGAAACAGCCCAAGGAGGAGCCGGGAGCCCCCCACTATAGGAAAGGTAAGACCTGACAACCCTACTTCCAGCAATGACAATATTCACTAGTGAGCACTTTGCTCTCAGCTTTAGACTGCAACCTGAGAGCTCAGTTACTTGGAAGTTAGACCCATTGAAATCATTCCAACTTCCTTCAAAGTTAACTGAGCCTACTAAGACCAGGCTGAAATTTACAACTGAGGAAGTTTCAGCTGACTGTATAGGTTTTTAAAACATCACCCTCATAAGACATGCTGCTATGTAAGCATTAACACAGCTGAACAATTTATTTGATCTATCACATTGACCAAGGGTGGGCATACCACATTCACAACAGTTATGCTGCAAGAGAGTGAGTGGCACACCCCCACATGGGCCAGGCATCCAGAGATAGAACAGGGCTCTCAATTTGGCAATCGTGTATCCAAAATCAAAACGCCATCCATACTATCATACAATTCACTGATGAGAGAAAGAAAGAATGGAAGAACCCATACCAGTGCATTGGACAATTAATAAAACCATTCAGGTGCAGATGTTACATGTCACTTGTTATATCCAACAATCCTGTTTCAGCCCAAACACAGATTGAACTTCACAAAAGTTACTTACTTGACTCCAACCTCCACGGTATATAAAGGGAAGAACAAAAGATATACTTGTGAGTAATACGGTTGTCATCATTAGCATACGATGAACCTATTGTTAAAGATATTTTTTGAAATGAGTTTTACATGAAAGTCATTTTGCAGTTTCTACTGAAGTCCTAGTATGAGCAGCATATGGCAGAAAATTTTCATTAAAGAGGAAGAGCTTATGTGCCACTTTTAATTATGAGCAGCATTTTAAGTACTTGTGTAAAGTTGGGGGAGGGGGCTTCCATTAGAATGCAATGCTTGCTAAGACCATATTTTGCTTTTTCTTCCCTACCTGAAACCAGATCTCTTCTCCAAACCACAATGAATGAGACCAAACTGGCTTGAAGAATCGGGCAACAATGACACCAATGTTAACTGTGGTCATCCATGCAACAAACATCAGTGCACCTGAAAGGAGAGAAAATTAAGATACATCCAAGTGCTTTAATGGTATAGGTTTGGACCAACTGCAGTAAGAATAAAAGTCTTCAGTAGAAAGCCTATATTGAAAAAAAGAAGCAGGGGAGAGAACATTCAAACTTGATGGATCTTTCACTAGTTCAGGCAATTGGAAGCCATACCTGCACATTTTGGTAGAGGCATGCTTGTCTCCCTTTTGCAAATAAAAGAGAAGGCATGCACAACAAATTCAGCACAACAAGTTCAGAAGAATCCTGGAGCATTTGAAAGAGAGGGAGGAGGATTGCGGAAGCTCAACCTCAACTATTTCCCAGTTTTTCTAGTAGTTCAGGAATTAAAACCTTTTCTCTGAGAAAACTGAGTACACAACAGATGTACAAAGCAAGAAAAATTCATGAGTTCTCTATGGGCATTTGCCCATTATGGAATATGGTATCACCAGACAGGGTGCAAATCACTGGTCAACAGAAGCCACATTCAGACCACCACATGCAAAACTAGAGTGGTTTTCGTACCATGTGCCTTGATGATGAGTGGAGAGCGGGATCCCCCGATATCTTCTGGTGGGCCTGTCACATTGTATCTCCTGTTGGTGATCAGAGGCTGTCTGTGGTGTTTAAGGATGGTACCATCTGTTAAAAAACATACAGTGCAGATTATGTTAGCACTGGCAACCAAGGGGTAGGAGGAATCACCCTGCATTACTTTACCTGGACTATGTGCCTATGGCATATCTTTTCACATGTTTGCCCACTAGCTTTTCTATGGCAATATTTAAGTTTAAAAAAAGCAAGAACCCCTCACTCTAGATAGTAGCATTGTTTTCTATACAATGCACATCTATAAAACATATATTTTGTTGATGCTAAAAACCCACCCACAAATGTTAATAGCCTCCTGTAAAGGAGAAAATATAAAATATTCCCTTATATTTCAGCTCAGGCAATACTCACTTGTGTCCTACACTCAGAAAGAAAGACATTAATAGAAAAGGGCATAAGTCTGACTTTTATGGATATGCAGGAGAAAGGGAAAAAAGGCTACCTAAGGAAACTCACTCCTCACAAAAAAAATCTGTAATATCATACGTCATGGATAAGAAACAGAATAGTGTTCGTATGATCCCTGTTCATATGCTGAAGGCCACAGAGAACACCTTTAGGTTGTAATCCTTGATTATGAGGGTGACGGAGGAGGGGAGAAAACCATCACATATTTTTTTATCTACATGGTGAATGTCCTGAGTTGCAGTCCATAAATAATGTGGATCTATGGAGAAGAAATTTTGTTTTGCTTCTTCCCTACCCAAGTAACAAGCAAATTACTAGCAATTCACCTTCTGGGTTTCAGTCATTACTTGCTGATCCCAGGACAAGAGACACATTCCTTTCCTAAATAACAACCAGAGTCTACCTAGCCCCGCAATCCATTTCCAGTTATTGCCAACTGGATTCTTCTGAAATGAAGCCCACAGCCACCACCAGCACGTAGCTCTCACAGAGATTTGCATGCTACAGTTCTCCGCATTTACACATAAGCTCAAAATTATTAAACTTCTTAAGATGAGACTCCACAATGTGTAGTGACACTTTATTAAGGATAAGCATTTGGCTAGACACTCACTCCGTTCCAAACGTACCTTCACTAACTTCACCATCTGCCAGAAATATGTAGTAGTCTGCATCCAAATTAAACCTTCCTTGCAAAGCAGAAAGATGAATTTTCCTTTGGAAAGAACACTGAATAAGACCATCAGCCAGCCTCCATGACATTTCTTCAAGGGCATTCTGAGAAAAAGTGAAAATTTAGCTTCATATGACTTCTCTTGTTTAAAGAACTTAAATGGAAGCTGCGGGTCAGGGTGGAGCATTTACTTTGCATGCAGGAGGTCCCAGGTTCAGTCCCTGACCATCTTCAGTTAAAAGAAGGCAGTAGGTGATGTGAAAGACCAACGTCTGAGAATCTGGAGAGCTGCTACTATTCAAGAGTAGCCAGTACTGACCTTGGTAGACTTGTGGCCTGTCTGACTCTGTATTCTTCATATGTGCAAGAACAAGCCTAGATAACAGTCATATTTATGCCACTAAAGTCCCACACTCCCCCATCTCATGTCCAAGATGCCAGAAAAAATGAGTATCTCCAAGCCAAGTATGGCTTGCTTAGCTGGCTTTTAAGGGAAAACTGTGGCATGCCTGGGACAATATGAATTGCTATAAAAGAAACAGAGTAATTGCAGAATATAGGTTTTTAAGATCTCGAAAAGGGCTGGAGTACAAGCAGAATTTTCCCCCATGAGACAGACCCATAATGTAAAGATGCCATGTTACAAAATGCAGCAACAAAGATTTAGTTCTACAGAAACTACTGAAAGGAAGAACGCCATGAAGAAAGAATGAAGACCCATGATGACAATTCTTAGTCTGTACCTCCCCAATCCAGATCATGCATGGGAGCCAAATATGTATTTTAAAAATAATACATAAGGTTTACATATGCAGAAGAAGCCAGAGAAGGTAGGCCTTCCTGCTACCATGTGCACAACTATCATGCGCATACATTGGCTTCCCATTATGGGTGAAGTAGGTATTGAAATAAAGTTTAGTCAAGTATAAAATATAGTATGAACGGGGCAAAAAGAAGCATGAGAACTATCAAGAGCCTATTAAACCACATTCAAGACACAAAGGCAAAGATTGGATACCATATAGAGATGTTTTAAAAATAGAAGGGAAGAATTTTGTGATAAAAGGTAGAGAAGAGCTAGACTTTGAATATGACTGGTTAAATTATAGACAGATTTATGATTTGTTTAAGACAGATTTAAAAAGGTATGGTTTTAGGGGAGGAAATAATGAAATTGAGTGTGTATGGGCAGAAAAAGGGAAAAGAATGATATCAAAAATTTATAAGGTTTTGTTAAAATGGTATACAGAGGAAGAAACGGTAAAAGAACAAATGATAAAATAGGCTATAAACATGAATAAAGAAATAACTATGTCATCTTGGGAATATTTGTGGGAAAAGTCAATGAAAATCACGACTTGTAATAATGTGAAAGAAAATTGTTATAAAATGATGTATAGATGGTATATGACACCTAAAAAAATTGCAAATATGAGTGAGAATATGTCTAATAAGTGTTGGAAATGTAAGAAAAAAGAAGGCTCTTTTTACCATATGTGGTGGACTTGTGACAAAGCTGTGGCTTTTTGGACGGAGGTCCATAATGAAATGCAGAAAATCCTGAAATGTACCTTTAAAAAAGAACCAGAAGTATTACTTCTTGGACTTAAGATGGAAGAAGTAAATGTAACCAAAAGAACATTGTTATGGTATTTGATTACAACTGCCAGAATGACTTACGCACAATTTTGGAAGCAAGATAGAGTGCCAGAAACATGGGAATGGATAAAGAAAATGCTTTTTATGGCTGAAATGGACAAACTGACAAGGAAACTTAATACTAAAGAAGACGAAGACTTTTTAACCGAATGGATAGACTTTAAAGAATATGTGGAGATTAATTGGGATGTTAAAAACAATTTACTCTGCTTTGATAGTTATTAACAGAATACGAAAAAGAAATTGACTGAATAGATAGCTATAATGTTACTTGAAAAACTGATAGTGAATATGAATATGTAGTAACTGAAGAATTGGAAAAAAAAGATGTTTTAATGTAATCTAAGGATAGAGCAGTAAAAGGGGTAAGGAGGGGGTGTGAGCATTGCGGGGGGCCAAGAGTAGGGGGGGAGATACGAGAGAAAAGGATATATGTTGAAAGAAAAGTTGTAATATTGAACATGTTGCTATATCCAAACAATAAAAAGTTTGTTAAAAAAAGAACTATCAAGAGCCTTGGAAGCAAAAGAACTGATTACCAACAGTAGGCACAGAACTGATTACAAACATATGAAGCTGCCTTCCACCGAGCCAGACCATTGGGCCATCCAGTACTGTCTATTCTTCCCAAAGAGCTGTGATTTGGGAACCTTTAACTGGAGATGCCAGGGATTGGATCTAGAACATCTTGCATAAAAACCATGTGTCATACTACTGAGCTATGCCCCCTTCCCTTAAGGAAATCTTGGTTCTCTCCTTAGAGCACTAGGAAAGAGGTTTGCAAAAGAGGATGGAACTCATCATGGCCTAGCAGCCTCAGACAGGTCTCTGGAGAGGGAGCATATACATTTTCTAAACAAACAAACAAGTGGAATTATAATACCTGAGAGTCAAAAGTTGGATAACTGCGCCCAGTCAGAGTGGCTGTACTTATGCCAACCTGATGGTCATCACTAATGCAGAGATATGCATCATCACCACCACCCTGTAAATAAAATTACAAAATTGCTAAATTGCATTTGCAGGGCATTCTACCTTCTATTTACTTTGAGGACCAGCATTACTAAGACAAAGGAGGTTGTGAAAACTTACCCAGATTTAACATGAATTTACCATAAATACACACTTCATGTGTGGTACTTCCTGAGCCACCATACATACATTAAGTTAGTATAAATTCACAACGTAGCTATAATCTCTGGTAGTAACAGAACGCAAGAATGTATGTTGCTTCGGACCACTTAAGAAGTGTTACCCTAGATTTGTACTAGTACCTTCACCTGCATAGCATTTTGAGACTAATCTTATTCACTAGTTTCAGAGAAGAGAAGAAGAAGAGAAGAGATTGGATTTATTTATATCCCGCCCTTCACTACCCAAAGGTGTCTCAGAGCAGCATACAAACTCCTTTCCCTTCCCCTCCCCACAACAGACACCCTGTGAGGTAGGTGGGGCTGAGAGAGCTCTGACAGAAACTGCTGTTTTTCAAAAAACAGCTTTTATCAGAACTGCGGCTTGCCCATGGTCATCTAGCCAGGTGCAAGCGGAGAAGTGGGGAATCAAACCCGGTTCTCCCAGATTAGAGTCCGCGCACTTAACCACCACACCAAACTGAAGGCCTTTCAGGGCTAGAAGGCTATGGAACAGTAATAAAAGCTTCAACTGCAGAATAAGAGAAGTTACTAACCATCCATAGGTCATGAGACAATGCAAATGCAATATAGCCTTCACTTGGACCACTCATTTCAACCAGCATCACACTATGGTCTTGCTTGAAGGACAGGAAGAAGCAATCTTTAGTTTTAGGATCACAGTCAGAAGGGTTTCTCACACAGAACTTGGTGTTGCCACAGTCTGAAGCATTAAACTACGAAAACAGGAAGCTGTGTTAACAGTATCACTGAAGAGGTCACTGTTTGAGAAATACGGCTTTTTCTGAATGTCAGCTTGTGCAGTCAAGGGGTTTAATGGAAATACATTTCCCACAGCCATGAACTGCTACCTAGCAATTACAGTTCATTTTCCTGGTGGTTATTAAGCTGCAAGCTTCACATTCACAACCAGATTCTTGACATCATAACATTACAGGTCTATAATTTTGGATGCATGCTGCAATCCCAATCTTGTCCTAGTCAGACACTTATTCTAATTGTGCAAAATGATACATTAACAACAGTATAATTAAAGGCTCTCTGAACCATCCCAAACTAGTCTACAAAATTACATTAACCTAATGAAAACTTAAAATGATTAAAGAGGAGGCCCTTATGGATTTAAAGAATAGGTAGAAGACAGCATTAGGTTTTCATTTTCGCAGAAGGTCAAAACACACCAAGGTCAAAACTAATAACCATTGGGGGGGTGGGGAGATCCTTCCTCCCTGTATCAAAGGCAATAGCATCCACCTAGAAGTTGGAACTACAATGAGATTGCTATCTGGAAGAAAGCAAACAGGGGTCAAGAAAGCTTGAGCTCTAGTCTGCAGCCACTAGCCAAAGGAATCCAAAAGACTGAAAAAAGAAAATATAGCCATACAACTGATGCTATATTTAGACCTGAACACCAATTCAGAAATCAGTTACAAATCACATCACCCAGATCCCAATTTGTAGTTGGCAATCTCAAAATATCTCCATTACATGACCCTCTTCCCCCTACATATGACTGAAAGTAAAAACTTTTTTTTAACCTGAACCAAGTTCTAGCCCTAGGAACATGTGATAAGTAAGTCAATGTAACCATTTTTGTGGTTAGTATGCTGGAATATTGGGATGCCTGGGTTCAAATCTCCACTCTGCCATAAAGCACAAGATGACCTTGCACGAGCATTCTCTCCCCAGTTAACCTACCTCGGAGAGTTATAAGGATAACATGGAAAAGGGAAGAAACATGTACACTGCCCTGAGCTCCTTGGTGGAAGGAACTGGCTTTTAGCATGCCAGCATAACCAAATGGGACACAAACATTTGAAATACTGTTCTGAGCCACTCCACCTATGCATGTGGATACCCAGCAAAGACATAGTTTTCCAGTAGCACCTGGCATTACATGACTGGGTCTCAATTCTCTTCATACTGCAGTCTTACTGTATGGCAGAAGATTACAAATTCCACACTAGAATCAAGACAACATGGTTGTCACTTTTACTTACTGGTTGGGTTAAATGGGGAATTGGTTGAGATGTTGGAATAAATGTTGTTGTTGTCCAAACTGGTATATTAAGCTGGGAAATCACAGGTCCAGGAATTTTTACCCAGAAAGTTTTATATTTTTCTACCACTGTGACACTGAAAACAAGAATAATGTGTACTTAGTATCTGAACCCAAGCTGTAATCTAACCTTACTCATACAGCAAGCTCTCCCCACAAACCAGTACAAAGGTTATTTATTTAAAACATTTCTGTGCTGCCTTGCTACTCAAATAGGGTTGACAAAGCAGCAAACATCAAAACTTTTCAACATGTTCATTTCAACAGCACTTTATACAAGTGTATATAAAATAATTCAATCAAAACATGTAAAGATACAAACATACATAACACCAAAACTAGAGAAGAAGGCCAACCACAGTTATTAGGGGAATGCCAAGCCAAAAAAAGGCATGTCATATATTTTAGTCCATTACATGTTGCGGGCATACATACCCCTCTTATCTGCTTGACATACCCCACACTGTGAGAATAGTTCAGATGGTCGAATATACTTACAGGAACCGTACTGTTTCTGGTGCCTCTCTAGGAGCAATCCAGTAGGCATCTATATGGGTTTTCTTAGACTTGCTTGTATGACTGACAGCTGAATTCTACAACATAGAAGTCCCAGTTCAGTATTCTACACCAGAATTGAACCTGCCGTTCAGTTCATGCCCAGAAAAGCCTACGAAAATCCATAGACTTCTTGGTTTATTCGCTAATTGACATCATTTGCTTATTGATACCACCACTCACAGAAAATACTTCCCATGGTATTAAAGGTAAAGGTAAAGGTTCCCTTGCTTGAAAGCCAGTCGAGTCCGACTCTAGGGTTGCGGTACTCTTCTCCATTTCAAAGCCGAAGAGCCAGCGCTGTTCGAAGACGTTTACGTGGTCATGTGGCCGGCATGACTAAACACCAAGGCACATGGAATGCTGTTACCTTCCCATCGAAGTGGTACCTATTTATCTACTTGCAATTTCTTGCTTTTGAACTGCTAGGTTGGCAGGAGCTGGAACTAGAGATGGGAGCTCACTCCGTCATGTGGCAACTCGGGTCTCGAACTGCTGAACTACTGACCTTCCACAGCCTGCAGTTCAGCGTCTTAACCACTTGAGCCACCGCAGCTCCTTTCCCATGGTATTACCCTAACACTAATTACCTGCATTGTTATGCTGATGCAGACAGACAGTGACTTGCCTAAGATCATCGTGCAAGCATCATGGCTGAGCAAAATCTGAATCTGGTTTTCCCAGACCCCCATTCGTCAGACCATCATTGGAGGGCTACTGATTTTACCCAAGTGTGCCTCAAGTAAGCATGCTCAGATGGCAGATTTACAAAGCAGTACACAAAAGAACATGTACTATCATGGAAAAACAGTACAGGGGGAAAGACTTTAAAAGAAACCCTCCCTGAATATTGTGGTGCTAACCCAAAACAGGTTCTGAAAATTATTTTTTTAATTGTTGGGAACCAAGAGGACTTTTGTCAAGGCCATCGGACCAGAAAGAGCTGGGTTCAAACCCCACCTAGGCCATGGCACACACTGGCTGACCATGAGCCAGTCGCTCTCCCCACCTTAACAGAAAGAGGTAGACGGTATGTGCATCACTGAATTTCTCTAAACAGTACGGGGTAGAGCAGACACCGGTATACCAGGAAGGGCACATTTGTTCAAACATGATTGCTGTTCTCAGTATATAGGAAGATCACACTTTCCTTGTTGTATCTTCATGCTGTTTAACACGCTACACACTGAAGTCTTGTAAAAGGGGTGACCCTTAGTCTGTAGTACCCCCTCTCCTCATATTAGCCCCGCATGAATTTGCAATCTGTTAATCAGCATCTCCTGGTGGTTGACTCCTTTTTGTCACGGCCACTGTGCACTCGGATCTTCACCGCCCCTCTGAAGGAGGAAGCTTAGAGGCTGCTCAAAGGAGTATTTGGGGGAGCAGGCATCAAAAAGCCGATGGAGGGGGGGTGTCAGGACCCCCGATGGTACCTTCCACCAGTGGAATCCTCATGTTCATCACCCATGAGACCCCCAAAATGGAGAAGAAGGTGCCACATTCTCAAACATCAGCTTTTGCAAGGTCACAGGAGGATGCTGGCAGAAGGTGGGAAGATGAAGGGGATCAGCCTTAGGAAGTACCTTCTAGTGACAATTTTTTTGGATCTGACCTATAGTGACTTTGCTGTACTGCACTTTTTCAGCATTGTGATTTATGGCACCTTCGCAACACTTTTACAGGACCGGGAGCTATCTGAGATGCACACAGCTCTGAACAGTCGCCATTTGCTGCTTAAAATAAAATAAAAAAATTTAAAAAATCTCCTGGTGGTTCCCAGCCCCAGGGACATCCAACTTGCCTCAACAAGGGCCAGGGCTTTTTTGGTCCTGGCCCCTACCTGGTGCAATGAGTTCCCATTAGAAATCAGGGCCCTGCAGGACCTGTTACAGGTCCGCAGCGCCTGTAAGATGAAGCTCTTCCGCCAGGCTTTTAATTGAGGCCGCAGAAATCCACCTGCTAATTGAGCTCCCCTCCAGTGATCTTAGATCCAAATGGCCACCTAGGAACTAACTGCTCCTTGCTTGGATCTGTTGAGGCACCAGTTTTTTACTGATTGCTGTTTTAAGATTGATTTTAGATACATTTTAATTGATTTTAGATTATTTTAGTTGATTTTAGATTATTTTAGTTATCGGTTGTTGTATTGTGTATTTTATGATGGAACCCACCCTGAGTCCACTTGTAGTGGACAGCTTGTTTCCATATGAAGTCTTGGTTGGCATCCACTGGTGTAAAAAACCTCTTTCTGGAGGCCTACGGGAGCTCTCAGCTTCCTCGTTCTGAAGTCAATGTCAGTTACATCCAGTATTGACTTCAGTGTTAGCCATAAAAATGGCCTATGAGCCTTCTAACATTCAGATGGAGCATGGTGGAAACACACAAGACCTCCATTACAAGTGAATTTATTTCATAACTCAAGACCCAAATTCTTCCAAGGCTTTAAGAAAAAAATGGCTGTAATGCAAACCTTGGAAATAACTAGAGAATGCCTCTCCTAAACCTGCTGCAGCTGACAACACACCATAAGCAAGACAAAGGGATAGAGTAGAAAAGTGTCCCAGGAGAAGACGGCTCTAGCTAGCTAGCCACCCTCCTTCCATTCATGGGGCAAGGGGATGGACTTTCAGCTTCATGTGCAGTTAACAAGCAACCATTTGTTCGTTTAACTTCCACATGGCTGTACGGCAGGTAGAGATGTAATTTGGGCTGGGCACAGACCAGGAAAGCCCGGTTCAGGGCTCACAAGCCAGACAGCCCCGAACTGAGTCCCAAACCAAATCCCCAAGGAAAAATCCCCACCCAAACTGAACTGGTTCAGGTGGCCCTGGACACCTGCCCCCGGCACACCAGCGTCATCTGGAAATGACACAAATGTGTTGCCCCCCCCCCAACGCACTTGCATCACTTCTGGGTGGCATCAGGCCCTGACCCTGGTGCACCCATGTCACCCAGAAGTGATGCGACCATATCAGGCCGCACATTTGCGTCACCTCCAGGTGATGTGGGTGCACAAGTGTGAGGCCCAATGCCACCCAGAAGTGGTGTGAACCTGTCAGAAAGGATGAACCCCAAACTGAACCGAGCAGAAACTCAGTGGGTGTTTGGGAGAAGGTGCCATTCGTGAACCAAGGTTCACATGCCTGATCCAGGCAAAGTCTGGCCTGGACTTTGGCTCAGGTTTGGGTCTGTGCCCATCCCTAGATGCAACACTGCCTATGAAGGATGAATTTAGACACTGGTACTGCCACATTAGCATTGATTTCTAGTTTATCTCCTACCCAAATTTTATTTAAATTAATCCAAACAGGAAACTCAGATTTTTACAGAATCATGTGAACTATTCCTTCAATCCCTCATATCAAGATGAGCACATAGGAATAGGTGGGGAAATGCCAGCTAGTTTGTCTTCTGCGCAAACATTATGAAACAGACAAACACGGCTCCTTAAGCTATGTGGAAAATGTAGGATTTCTTACCTTTACATGTCCACAGGTGAGGAGCTGAGATTTCATTTTGTCACTTAGCACAAAAGACCCAATGGCAGGGCCCCTCAAGTTCTTGGCACTACGGGCTTGTAGAAAGAAACCTTCAAATGCAGGCCCTGACAAGCTCACTAGAACCAGGAAAAAGGGGGGAGGGGGGAGAGATCAACACTCATCTTCAATTACAATGGCAACAAACAGCAAATTATATGGACATCTTTTAATTTACATACAGGCCTCTACAGATTGGGAAGCCACTAGTGGCCATTTTAAACAGGTCACTGATAAGGAAGACAGCTCAGGAAATGCACAGTGTTGTGACACCACAATATGGGTATAAAGTACTGAGACTGATGCATAGCGTAGTGATTCAGCTCATACTTTATTATAGATGAAAGAACAAGAGATACCTTTGCCGGCTTATATTCAGAACTCACACTACACACACGTGATTAGATATTTACAGTGCAACCCCTAGACCATTGGTCCCTCCTAGGACCCTAGCTTCCCCATTGGTGCGTGCTAGGATCCGTTTAGGCTATTGTCTTTTGAAGCAAAGCTCGGGTCCTTAGCCCGACCGCATGTTTGCCCGACCACGTGTGCAGGCTTCCCTGGGTACACAACAATGGGTTGCAGTCCATTGGCATAGCTGTGCCAGTCTGCTGCAGCCAAACCAAAGAGTCTTATGGCACCTCAAAGACCAGCAAATTTAACTTTGTCAGATGCATGAAGTGTTAGGGGTATCCAAAGCTATAGAAAGAGAATGGAAGCTTAGTTTCCCAGGACAAGGTATGCAACATTACAAAGCAGAGAAGGAAGCAAGATCCAGTGGGAAAAGAACCTGACCCATTCAGAGTAGTCTACTAGATACCCCCTCTCAACTGTTGGTGAGTCGGCAAAGTAGGATGAAGCTGAATAGCAAACATAAGCCTGTAAGGGGCAACATTTACTTCTGTAGTGAGATGGACTCAGTAGGGACTTGAGAGACTAAATCTGATTGTACTTGGGTGGATCATACCCCTATCCTACCACCCCACTAAGCAATACTCGAAAGCTTCTTCCAGCCTGAGGAGCCTTCCTCCAAATTAAGTGGCTCTTTTTAGGGGGCCCTGTCATTGGCTCTTCTGTGCTGACACAAAGATGGACTACAAGGCATCACAGATGTCATTCTATTGAAAGGCTACCTGGACGATGGCTGGATCCACCCCAAATTTGTATATAAAATCCAGCTCAGCAGTTTCTCAGTGGCAGTTCCCTTTGAAACTGAAGTACTATACCCTTAAAGACTACTTATTAAATGTCCAGGGAGGTTGAAACGTTCCATCCTTGGTCCACAATACATCAGATTCTATTCCTTTCCTTTAGTAATCAGTCTCCCTTCTTAGAGCCAGATCTTGCTTCCACTCCTTTGAAACTCAAATCTGACTGATATAATTTAAAAATGGGACAGAGCTTTGACAAAGTGGCAACAGCAATGAATAAGTGACTTGCAGATCTGACTGCCCATGAGACTACCACTTTAAAAAAAAGCTGGCCATGCTCCTATGTCATTAACAGCAGAACGGCACATGGAGATTTAACAGACTAAACATCCCCTAGTAAAAACTGCTCACTTGTATGATCACTCTTACATTGAAAGGTAGCCAGCACCTTGTCTCAGAAAACTTTTCTGAAAGAAGCATAGTACCATTTCATACAGGTCTCTACAGGAGACATTAATCCTCAAACCAATTGTTGGTAATTCCAGTTATAGACTTCCAAACCAATTAACCACCCAATTATTAGCAACAGGCAGCAGTGAAGTGGAAGCAACACTACTCATCAGCAATTGCAAAAACAAGACAAATAGTACCTTTCACATGATCTCCTGGTCTAAACTGTGTCACGTTCACTTCAATTATGTGCTTTGGAAATGACTGTGAAGAATATCCATGGAGGGGTATCATACTGTCACAGACCTCTTGTACTTTTCCATTGGGGTAACCAGCTGATAGACTGGAAAGGTAGGCAAACACCCAAACAATAAGACCAGTTCCACAGGGTTCCATCTGTTAAAACAAAAAGTGAATATCAACAGAGTTAAAGCATTCTCCATACATAGTTATCTGATGATAGCAAACTTGATACTTCTCTCTAAACATTGTTTTAAAAATTTACAGGAGTCATGGAGCATCCTTCTGTAGTTCATAAAATCTGGAAGAGTGAAATGGACCAGTTATTTGAATCTGCTAACAATTAGGTAGGATTCATTACACATCTGAGTTGTCAGATGCTTTCACTTTACCTTAACTCTATTAAGGCATCAAACACATTCCTTTGCCAAACTCCTGTAGATAAAGTCCAATTAGAAACCAACAAGAAACAGTATCTGGATCCAGCCTAAAAGAAGACCGAACTGCCCTGGGCCCAAATATCTAAAGCAGAGATACATTCAACACCACAGAGTCAGTTTGTGTTCACCCACAGCCTCCAAGTAATAATTTATTCAGATCTAAAAACACTGAGAACAACTAAATCATATCATAACCCCTAAGGTTATTGTAGAAAGATGCTCTTCTGCTTATCTGTCCTTCTTACTCACACCCTGCCCTCCCCACCAAGGAGCTCAGAACAGCATACCTTAGAGTTATCACATTTTATTCTCATATCTAGCCTGAGAAAGCAGACTGGGCTGAGACAAAGAAGAAGATTTGACCGAAAACCACATAGACAGCAAGCCTAAACACACTTCCCTGGAACTCAGCCATACTG